CATAGCTACATTTGAAACTGTGTATGGAGTCAGCCTCCACCACAACACTACTAAATGCATTCCATTTGTTAACTACCCTGACACTGAAAAAATTGTTTCTAACGTCTCTGTGTATGTAATTACCACAGAGTGTTAGTGTTGTTAGTGTTAGTGGTTAGTGTTGACCTTGTGGAGGTAGTCAGAACCCATTGTATGTTACATTACAAGGGAGTACCACTGTCTGGCCGCTGCCTCGTGACAATATTGTACGATCAATGTCTTGGTCTATATTGCTCCGAGTTGTGGGCCCGGGACAGTAAAGATAGGAGTAAACTGTGTAATAAACAGAGGACACCCTGGGGTGTGTGTCTCCTCATGCTGGAGACACCCTGGGGTGTGTGTCTCCTCATGCTGGAGACACCCTGGGGTGTGTGTCTCATGCTGGGGACACCCTGGGTGTGTCTCCTCATGCTGGAGACACCCTGGGGTGTGTGTCTCATGCTGGGGACACCCTGGGTGTGTGTCTCCTCATGCTGGAGACACCCTGGGGGTGTGTCTCCTCATGTGACACCCTGGGGTGTGTCTCCTCATGCTCTCCTCATGCTGGAGACACCCTGGGGTGTGTGTCTCCTCATGCTGGAGACACCCTGGGGTGTGTGTCTCCTCATGCTGGAGACACCCTGGGGTGTGTGTCTCATGCTGGGGACACCCTGGGTGTGTCTCCTCATGCTGGAGACACCCTGGGGTGTGTGTCTCCTCATGCTGGAGACACCCTGGGGTGTGTCTCCTCATGCTGGAGACACCCTGGGTGTGTCCCCCCCACGCTGGAGACACCCTGGATGTGTCTCCTCATGCTGGAGACACCCTGGGTGTGTCCCCCCCACGCTGGAGACACCCTGGATGTGTCTCCTCATGCTAGAGACACCCTGGGTGTGTCCCCCCCCCACGCTGGAGACACCATGGATGTGTCTCCTCATGCTAGAGACACCCTGGATGTGTCCCCCCCGCTGGAGACACCCTGGATGTGTCTCCCTACACTCGAGACACCCTGGGTGTGTCCCCCCCACGCTGGAGACACCCTGGATGTGTCTCCTCATGCTGGAGACACCCTGGGTGTGTCCCCCCCCCCCACGCTGGAGACACCATGGATGTGTCTCCTCATGCTAGAGACACCCTGGGTGTGTCCCCCCCACACTGGAGACACCCTGGATGTGTCTCCTCATGCTGGAGACACCCTGGATGTGTCCCCCTACACTCGAGACACCCTGGATGTGTCTCCCTACACTCGAGACACCCTGGATGTGTCCCCCTACACTCGAGACACCCTGGATGTGTCCCCCTACACTCGAGACACCCTGGATGTGTCCCCCTACACTCGAGACACCCTGGATGTGTCTCCCTACACTCGAGACACCCTGGATGTGTCCCCCTACACTCGAGACACCCTGGATGTGTCCCCCTACACTCGAGACACCCTGGATGTGTCCCCCTACACTCGAGACACCCTGGATGTGTCTCCCTACACTCGAGACACCCTGGATGTGTCCCCCTACACTCGAGACACCCTGGATGTGTCTCCCTACACTCGAGACACCCTGGATGTGTCCCCCTACACTCGAGACACCCTGGATGTGTCCCCCTACACTCGAGACACCCTGGATGTGTCCCCCTACACTCGAGACACCCTGGATGTGTCTCCTCATGCTGGAGACACCCTGGATGTGTCTCCTCATGCTGGAGACACCCTGGATGTGTCTCCTCATGCTAGAGACACCCTGGATGTGTCCCCCCACACTCGAGACACCTGTTCACTTGTGACTGGTATCTACACATGGGGTTTCTAAATATTCATAATGAGAGGAAATAGTAAAATCAGCACCATTCCCGTCCGACGTTACAGGCATGCTGGAGTTCAACATGTTCGGGGTGCCGTACGTGGGCGCCGACATCTGCGGGTTCTTCGGGAACACGACGGAGGAGCTGTGTGAGCGGTGGATGGAGCTCGGGGCCTTCTACCCCTACAGTCGCAGCCACAACCACAAGGACGCCGTGGACCAGGTACCTAGTCGTTGACATGGAAATAGTCCCGTCTCCTCTACCTTGTCTCTTATTCTCTATTATTTATTATGTTTGTTTCTCTCCTAATATTCTGATGTATACTATTTCACTGAACAATTATTCTTAATAATGTGTACTATTATTAGGAATACCGACGCTCTGTTATTATGGGTTTGTGCTCGCCTCTAGGCTAGGACTTTTGCCCTAGGCTAGGACTTTTGCCCTATGTTAGGACTTTTGCCCTAGGCTAGGACTTTTGCTCTAGGCTAGGACTTTTGCCCTAGGCTAGGACTTTTGCCCTAGGCTAGGACTTTTGCCCTAGGCTAGGACTTTTGCCCTAGGCTAAGACTTTTGCCCTAGGCTAGGACTTTTGCCCTAGGCTAGGACTTTTGCTCTAGGCTAGGACTTTTGCTCTAGGCTAGGACTTTTGCTCTAGGCTAGGACTTTTGCTCTAGGCTAGGACTTTTGCTCTAGGCTAGGACTTTTGCCCTAGGCTAGGACTTTTGCCCTAGGCTAGGACTTTTGCCCTAGGCTAGGACTTTTGCTCTAGGCTAGGACTTTTGCTCTAGGCTAGGACTTTTGCCCTAGGCTAGGACTTTTGCCTTATGGGTAGTTTCACTTGGTTGTACTCCTAGGGATTTATGTTGCCAGCCTGTTGTTAATGTCTAAAAAAAATCCCAAAGCATTACAGAAACGCCTAGATCGTTTATAATATTAGAAATTTATATATTAAAAAATATATAAACATAAATGCTGGTTTATCAGGGGCTCCCACACTTCACTTTGGTGACTAGGTAATGCGCAATAACATTGAAATATGGATTTTAATCTATATATAACATCATGAAATCAAATTAGTTCCCCCTTCCCCTCAGATTCCTCTATATCAATGTCATATTCATGGAATAATTTATTTGGAAATAAATGAGTTCACCTCATCATACCAGAAAGTAATATAAATAAATATCTAAAGAGAAAATCATCATGTCGCTCACTGTACATATGATATGAAATCTGGACTCTTATAACTACTCTATATTACTCCAAAATGACTACATTACACTACATTCAATATACTGTATGTTTAAACAGTGCCTTAGCTGTTTTTCCTATCCTAGCTTAGCTGGATTTCCTATCCCAAAGTTTTTGGGATAGGAAATCCTTCCAGGACGAGGGAGATCGTTCCACACGTCCTCACCCTGCGTCCGCCATATTGGCCTCGTCCGACGTCGTCAACACCTGCTAACACTCGCCTCAGAATATCAGCCGTTTAACAAGTCCTAAAAGCTCTCTGAATATCTACTATCTACTTATACTTTTCTTTTAGTCTAAAATATAAACGAGTCCACGTTTCATTTATAAACCGTCTGAACATATCCTACGAGTTAGAAATTGAGTTAGACATACTCGCTAAATATGTTGAGGTACTACTTAACTGGGCGGATGAATACTGACCACCTTGGGCTCTGCGGCACTCGGCGCGCTTCACGTTTCCACTACACAAAATAATACATAAACAGTTACATATTCGCAACGCAATGCTCTTTACTCTTCTGCTTTGTTGTGTTCTATTCTATATTATTCGGCTCAATTATTTTATGGTCTGTTCTTGGGTTAAATAGCCAATGAAGGTAAACAACAGGTTTACATATGGACGTAAAGATGATTCTAATGGATGAAAAGATTAGTGTATATAATTAATGGTTAAAATAGGTAAGGGGCATATATATAGGTAATGAATACACAGGGATATGTAAGTCTGGAACCTGAAAGATTAAAACAGTAGCCGAAACGTCTTCAGTCGTAAATTCAGCTCTGACATTTATATTTATATTCATTCTGGCGTATTTTATCGTTTTTTTTTCCTGCAGGACCCAGGAATATGGCCCGAGACTGTTGCGAAGTCGTCGAGGAAGGCTCTGGAGATTAGGTACCGCTTACTGCCCTACTTCTACACTCTCTTCTACCACGCCCACACACAGGGCCACACCGTGGTCAGGCCACTTCTGCACGAGTAAGTCTTTGTTTACTTATGCCAAGTTGGGAATATTTACTATCATCAGCTGATTCATTTACTCATGGCGGGTAAAGTTTGTTTACTATTTTCAGCTTATTCAACTTCAGGTGGATCTCAAACTTTATCTTCCCATCCCTTTATCGTAGGGTACGCGATAGCTTTGACCGTTAATGTGCACCACATCCCAAGGCCATGAAGAGAAATAACAACAATTATTGAAATAATATATGAGTTAAGCCTTGATTCGGTTCATAGTTGGTTTCCATTGCCTAATATTTACTCGTTTATAGACAATGAAAAGTTTAAGTCATCACAAACGATTGTCTATGGGATATTGTAGTTGATTCAGCTACTTGGAACAAAAAGTTCCAAGTAGCACAGGCTATGGTGAGCCCATTGTGGCACAGGAGCGGGGCTGTAACTGAGCTATGGGTATGTTGTTGTTGTTTTAGATTTAGCTACTCAGAACGAAATGTCCATGTAGCACGGGCTATAGTGAGCCCGTAATTGAGTTCGGTTATTCGCGATAACCTTGTTACTGTGATATTTGGGTCTAAGTTTTAAATGGAGGTGGCGTTTCCTCCTTTTCTCCCGTTTCTTTTCCACTTCTGTTTTAGCGCACTGGTTTTAGTCTTGCTTCAATAACATTATCTTGGTTGTAAATATAGATGTACAGTGTTCACTAGTGTGTCCCATTCTTCACCTGCTTTTCTGACCATTTTAGTCACTGAGGAATTTGCATATAATGCAGCTGCTGTCATTAGATTATTATTGAGTTTGATGCGCAGAGCTTGAGTTGCTTCGCATTGCGAGTCTGGTGTCTTGAGTTCTCATTTTAACGGCCATTGCTTTGGTTTTAAGGTTATTTATTTTCACTGCTATGCATTCTGCTTCCCTGCTGATGATGTCTAGGCACTTTTGTCCGTGGTTCCTGGCGCTTTTGCCATTGATGATGACCACAAAGTCGTCTGAATATTTAGGCAGTTTGGCTCTTGGTAACTTGAGCTTCATGAATTGTTCCATGAGATAGTTGAAGAGGAAGGGGCTTAGTATTCCTTTCTGCGGAGTCCCATTTTCCAGCCTCTTTGAGGAGGATGTTTTTCCTTGGAATTTGACTTTAGCTTCTCGGTTAAGCAGGCTTCCTCTGGCAAAGGCAAGAGCGTGTCCTTTGATTTACTTATCCACAAGGCAGCACAGTGTAGCTGGAGCTAACTGGCTAACTCGAAGGCTTTTTCTAGGTCTAGAAAAATAAGAATTCCTAGTTTGTTATTGATTTGATTCAGAAATGCATTCTGTGGTTCTAGCACCTTTTCTGTAAGCAATCATATTTTGGTGCAGTGGATTGGTTTTTCAGTCAGTTCGATTAAGAGCCATTCTTTCTGCAGTTTTGGCCAGACAGCTTGTTAATGCAACCCGTTCTCGCAAATTTAATAAGTCAATATTGACTTATTAAATATGTGCATAGGTGACATACGTAACATAATAGATACCCTTAAAAAGATTCATAGAAAACACTGACCTTACCTAACCTTGTTAGTATCTTAAGATAAGCATCTTATTGCTTCGTAATTACAATTATTACCTAACCTATAATAGGTATAGGTTAAGTAATAATTGTAATTACAAAGCAATAAGATGCTTATCTTAAGATACTAACAAGGTTAGGTAAGGTCGTTGTTTTCTATGAATCTTTTTAGGGGTATCTATTATGTTTAGTATATCACCTATGCACGTAGTTAATAAGTCAATATTGACTTTACGAATTTGCGAGAACAGGTTGGTTAATGAGATGGGTCTTGGATTTCCTGGGTCTTTGGGTTTTGGAATGGGTACTATAATTGTACTGTTCCAAGAGAGTGCTCGAGGAATGGGTACTATAATTGTACTGTTCCAAGAGAGTGCTCGAGTTCTTGTCACCCATACTCTGTTGATGAGATTAAAGAAGGCTTTTTCACTTTTTTCCCTAGCTTGGCCAGCATGTTGTGAGTGATTTTGTCCTCACCTGGAGTTGAGTTTTTAGTTTTCTTTGTAGGTCTTCTGAGTTGAAAGGTCTTCTCCTTTTAGACTGAAAGATTGGTCCAGTTCGTCAGGTAAATCTTGAAGTTGTCTTAAAATGATTTCGGGGCTTAGCGTCCCCTCGACCAGGCCTCCTTTTTGTTACACATCACCATGAAGCAACCCGTAACGCTGTCTAACTGCCAGGTACCTATATACTGTTAGGTGAACAGGCGCATCAGGGTGAAAGAAACTATGCCCATTTGTTTCCGCCTCTACCAGGGATTGAACCCGGAACCTTAGGATTCCGAATCCCGAGCGCTGTCCACTCAGCCGTCAGGCCCCCCCACTTCAGCTTTAGCCTTTAGGAAAGACAAAAGTACTGTCTATTTTTTTCCATCTTGCTGCTTGAAGTTTTTGTTGGTGAGTCAGAGTTGAGGACGTTGAGTGGAGCTCTTGAAGCTCTGGGCGAACAAGAAGGGGCGGAGGAGGAAGCGATTTTTTCTTTGGCCCTGTTGCTCTGCCCCCAGATGTCGCCCAGGGTTGTATGCTGGCTGAGCTTGGCACACCACTCGAGCCATATTTCTTTTTCTTCGATGTTTGCTGTTTCTTCATGCTTATGATCTCGGACAGCTCTAAGAAGTCCTAGATTAGCTTCGGTTCTATCTCTTCTGAAATTCTTTCGTGCACGATTTAGTCTGTTGTGTAGCTCTTTGATCCTATCACAGAAATACCAATGGTCCTTGTGTTGTTGGGTAATTGTCTTCCTCTTGGGGGTGGCGTGATTTGCTGCTCTATGAATTGCATTTACTAAATCTTTTTTCCATTTCTTCGGTGTTGTCAGGAGGAGTGTAGTTTTGGTGCCAAGTTTCGAGAGCTTCCTGAAACTTCGTCCAATCTGCCTTGATAAAGTCCCATCCGGGCTCGGGAGCTGGAGGTCTAGGAGGTAGTGCTATATTAATAACTGTTTTTGTAGCCAAGTGGTCACTGGTCAGTACATGATCCACTGACCAATGACACAACTCATAAACACTGGTGGAGACAAACGTGAGATCCAGCTTCCCTCCACCAGTGTGGGTTGGTTCCGTCAAGTTAAACAGACTGACTTCTGGCACTTCATCCAGAAGGTGTTCAATATATTTTCCGTTGGCGTCCGTTCTTGGTGAATCAAGTAGTAATTCACTATGAGCGTTGAAGTCACCCGAGATGATAGTAAGTGTAGTGGCTGCTATTTCAAAGATTGCAAAGAGATCCATGTCGTGTTCTCTAGGGCTTTGTATACATTGAAGATGGACTGCATTGAGTTCCTCATAGTGAGATTAACTCCCATAATTTCAACATTCTCACCACAGTTAGGCGGGTCTATGATTGCCGTGACATTGATATAATTTTGTATTAGTATTGACGTCCCTCTGGTGCCACCTTGTGAAATTGAGCAGTAGAAACCTTGATATCTTTGGATATTGATACTTCTTTCAGTCCTGGTGAATGTTTCTTGAAGTAAAACAATATCAATGTTGTCCTTGCGAAGCACTGGTCTGAATGTTTGTGTTTCGTTTTTGAATCCTTGAATATTCCATTGTATAATCTTGAGATTGTCCATTATTCTGTTAGAGTTGAATCCATTTAGTCCATGGTGGTTAATAATGTTCTGATTTCCCCGACGGCTTGTGTCTTCTTGGCTGGAGTGGAGACTGCTATTGGCTGCTGAAACAATTCAGTTTCGTCACCTCCTTCGACTTCTGCTTCGTCAACCTTTTCAGGTCGGGCTTGTAGAAATGTGGAAGAAATAAGTTCAGTAGATTGTTTTTTTAACTTTTTAACATTTCCTTCCTTGACTGAGAGTTAGTCTGTTCCAGTGCTTGGAATGCTTTGTCAAGCATCTTGCTGAAGGTCTCTGTCAGGGAGGCAATAATTATTGGAACAGTAGTCACTTGATATGCGGTTGGCTTTCTTTATTTTGTCTCGGTAGGTGAGGAGACTCTGGGTAGGGTCGTGGTGTCTTTGCTACATCCATGTCAAACACTGATATATGCAAAATTCTACATAAAGAAGGCAAACCAACAAACCCAAAATGTCCAAACTGCGGGGATACACATCACGACTGGAACAAACGATGTCCAGAAAGGGTCAATAGAATACATACCTCTAGATCTACCCAGCAAACTAATGTAACACCCATGACAACCCCCTCCCCCTCCCCCAGAGCTCAAACCCAGGGAAGCCGTCTCCAAGAGGTCAGCCCAGAACGTCTGGAACGTCTGGCAAAATTAATAAAAATATTCCAAGCTAGTCTTAGTCAGCTAGTTATTAGTAGGTGATATTTCATGATAATCTTGTCAAACATTGTAATGGAATTATATTCTTAGATTCTTATGTGTAAACACCCAGGGATCTCCTCCTTTCTGCCAGGTCAGAGGTCAACCACCTGCAAGGTGAGTGTTGGCTGTGTAAACATTTGGGTGAGGAAAACGTTACTTCCCCGTGCGCTTCCGTAATTAATAGTTCCCATCCTTGAAGAGGTGTATGGTAGTTGTCAAACATCTTAATGGCAAATTCTTGAGTGTTTGTGCACGTGTGGGTGGACCACTTACAAGCCTCAATGTAGGTTAGCAACAGCAAATCTTCCCCTCCCCCTTTCTCCAGTTGATCGGTGGTGTGGCAGTTATGGGGGCATGTATATATATATTCCTGTAGGGGAGTTAGAGGGATAGAGAGTGCTGGAGGAACAGAGGCAGTGTGGGCTGTAGGTCATCAAGTGGGTGTCAGGAGACAGACTCACAAAGGTCAGAGAGCAGGATCCAGAAGGTAATGTGTGTGATCCTGATATTTCCCATGTGTGATTTCTGAACATTTGCCAGTGTTAGAGTAGGGATTTATAGTTTAGTGAATATCATGTTTTGTTCTCAATAAACCGATGTTAAACTTTCCATCTGTGTCAATTAAATGGAACCTTCCAAACTCCTCTGTTTATAGTTTTGTTAACAACCGGCCTGTAATTA